AAAATGCCTAAAACAAGAATTAAGTAGAATTAAGCTTGGCTTTCTAATAAAGCTATTACAGATTATAATTGATTTTTCAATGCACTTACTTATCAACTTCTTCTCAAGATTTAAAGTTCTGATTTTTGTCTAATGAAAATATAAATTCTGCATCTTCATATTTGCTCTCCAAATCAGACTCATCTTCTTCAGTCTCAACTAATGAATATGTATATTCATTTACACTCTCCAAGTCCAATTTGTTTGCTTTAGTTACTTCTTATACAGGTTGAATATCAGTTAACTATCAGGTTCCTGATAAGTCTCCAATTTTGTATTATAGAAACATGCTAGCTTACCGGTAAAACTTTCCTAAAAATATCCGATTTGTCTCTGATTATAAACAGATCTTTGGTGCTGATAGGACATTATTTGGAAATATATAGAATATGAATCATATTCATATCAGTAACTAACATTTATCTAATTAGTATCTTATTGTTTATAATATAACTATAAAATAGAGCACTATTTAAAAATATATATAGAACAGATCATTTTAATATCGGTTACCTAACATTTATCCGATTTGTATCTTATTGTTTGTAATATGACTATAAAAATAGTGCACTATTTAGAAATATATATAGTACATATTGTTTTAATATCAGTTACTCGACATTTATCCGATTTGTATCTTATTGTTTGTAATATAACTATAAAATAGGACACTATTTAGAAATATATATAGTACAAATCATTTTAATATTGGTTATCTGATATTTATCCAATTTGTATCTTATTGTTTTTAATATTACTATAAAATAGGGCAATATTTAGAAATATATATAGTACAAATCATTTTAATATTGGTTATCTGACATTTATCTGACTTGTATTTTATTGTTTGTAATATGACTATAAAAATATGGCACTATTTAGCAATATATATAGTACAGATCGTTTTAATATTGGTCACACGACATTTATCCAATTTGTATCTTATTTTTCCTATATTAATATAAAACCAGATGCATATTGGGTTTTTATAATAAGCTTATCAGCAATACCAGTAAGGCTATTTATTAGTCTATATGTTTATAAAATAGGTTTGTATATTATATATATTTCACTTATATATATTATTGTATTATGTTTATTGTATTGTAATTGTTTTAAATTGAATAACAATCATGCAATTGTAGCAATAATACATGCAGTATTGTTTATTAAACAAACAAAAGTAAAATCTAAACTATATGAAAAAGCTAATCTAAAAGCAAAATCAAAATTTATAAATCTTTAAGTCAATGTTATTTATTAGTGGAACTGACATTATCATTAGTATTACAGGAATCATTTTGGGCTTTATTGTCCTAAGCATTATCATAATTGTTGTCGTCATTGCCATGGGCTTCATTATTAGTAGCTTCATTAGTTGCTTTATTGTATTTCTATTGCTATTGCTGCTACCACTAATGTTGCTACTAGTACTACTGATATTGCTATTATGACCACTTGTAAGTACTTGTGCTTCTTCTTCATCTTCATCAGAAATGTATAAAATAGAAATAGTTCAGGCAAGCACATCTGTTGGTGGCTTTTATTTGTCCGACCACTTATTATAATTATATCAATGTTTTCTTGTATATTTTATATAGAAGATTCTTTCTCCCATTTCATCAGCCAACTGCAAAATTTTCTTAACCTATTATCAATAAAATAAAAAAGAAAAATTAATAAATAAATCTAAAAAGTATAACAAAAATTATAATTTTATCTAAGAAATTAAAAAAAAAAAAATTAAAAAAAATTAAAAAAAAGTTTAACGACAAAATGTAACTTACTTTACGCAATCTCTATAGCTTATCATTAACATGAATTACATGATTATTATGTTTGTCCTTGGGGTAAAGTTTTAGTCATTTTCAGATAATGTTCACTCTATATCAGTTTTTGAAAGTTCATCCAAATAATAATCTCTATTATTGAGTATATTTTCAAGATCGGCTTTGAAATCATTAAAATCTATTTTAGGTGCAAGTCTTATCAGATTATCATTGTTTAAATTAACCATATAATTAACACCCTGAATTCACTTTTTTTTTCTATTAATAAAATTTAATTATAATTAATATTGGCAACCTGATATTCCTATAAAAAAAACTTAACAACTTTAACACCTACTTCAGATTATCATCTATTTACTCCTTTTCGTTTTTTATTAGCTTTAGATTTTTCAGGATCTTGATATATAGTATTTTTTTCATATTAATGATGATGAAGTTGATGAAGAATGTATTTAAGTTCAGTATTCTTGTACCTAAACTGACTCTCCAAAGCTGACTTGATTGCTAGTATAGTTTTTTTAAACACATGCTGACTAATATCCGTCTATTTTTTAGTTGGATCAAGTTGAAAAGTATTATCTAGACTATATAAAATATTAATTACTTCATTCTATTAAGTAAAATAATAATAATAATAATAATAATAGTAAAAATTAAGATAATATTAGTATTTTAAAATAAAAAAACAAACAAAATAATTATTAACTATTAATAACAATAATATTAGTATTTTAAAATAAAATAATTATTAACAATAATGACAATATTAAATTCACATACAT